GTTGCCGGGCAGACTCTAGCCCACCAGGAAGGAAGCCCCTCACCCAGGTATGTGATGCCAGTCATGTAGGCAGAGGGAGCAGGTTTCCCCCCTCCCTCAGGAACGTATCCAGCTCAGGTTACCTGAAGAGATAGGGTAAGGATGTCTCTCTCTGCTGGGCCCTTTCTTATCACAATTGTCACAGAGCAGAGACTTTGGGGAGAGATAAAGGTGGCTTTCTGCCGCAGGGGACAAAGGGGGATGTAGCAGCAAAGGTAAAAGTGCAGAGGTGCCTGGGGAGGCAGATGTCTGGCAGGTCGCAGTGTGCCAGAACTCCACTGTGTGTATTGAGTTTCTGCACCTACTACCTAGGAGGCTGATGAAGTGCAGCTCATAGGCCCAGCTCTGATAAGTGGTTTATATTTCAAACAAGCACCTAACCTCATCGCCAGAACTGAAGCCAACTTCCAACAGCTCATAACACAAAACCTGCCAACTATCTCCAGTACCCCACAAACTGCGCACCAGAATCTGTCAGACACAACAAAACCCAACTACCTGTGGGGACACATTCCTTACTAAAAAAACACTCTGCCTCCAGTCTCTGAGGCCTGATCCTGAGAGGGAACAAATTAACAAGCAATTTTCACAGCTGGGCCTATGAACTTCACTTCATCAGTCTCCTAGGTACAGAAACTCATGGACTCAATATAGATTAGACAGTAGAGTTCTGGCACGCTGCGACCTGCCGGACATCTGACTCTCCAGGTACCTCTGCACTGCTACAATCCCTTTTCCCCCGCCCCACCCCCTTCCCTCCCCACCCCCGCGAGGGCATGGGGGGAAGCCTGATTTCTGTAGCTAGCCAGTGAGAAGGATTTCTTCCTTTTGCAGGCCAGGCCAGGCTCTGGCTTTTTTACAATTCCTTCCATCCAGGAACAACTGCAGGTACTTCCTCAGCCTGACAAAGGGGTTTTCAATCCTAAAACTGGCATCCCGGGCAGCTAAGCCGAGCACACCAGGAGCCTTACAACTGCACAGCAACCAGCAAGCATCAGGCCTGTCAAAGATGTGACAAGTCTGGGCTTTCCCCAACCAGGACTGTGTGTGTCTGTGTGTTAGCTGGAAGTTATGGCACCTCCTACCTGCCTTTCACCACAGGATCATTGGTCCTGGCATTTATGGGGCTGTCATGCCACCAGCAGTCCCACCAGGCCTCCCTACCCTGGCAGGGTGCAGTTTTAGGTCATGCTCAGGAGCTGGGGCCTCCTCCTTCCCCC